CACCGTCTGCTGATGCACCACATCCTGACGGTCGGCGGGTGGCTGACGCTGACGGGGTTCCTGGTGCGCCGCCCTCCCGTCTGGCTATGGGCGCTGCGCACCGTACCGATGCTCTTCCACCTCCTGACAGCACTGGGAGCCGTCAACCTGCTCGTCCACCTTCCCAGCAAGGTGCGGGTAGTGTACGGTTTGGCCGTGTACGGGTTCTTCGTCCAGACGGCAGTCGCCCTGGTGGTGCTGCTTTTCGGACGAAGCGAGCTGGACACGCTGGAGAGGCAGCTGGAGGGGCTGGAGAAGATGGCCACCTGTAACTCTCCGGTGCTGCACCGTAAGATTTTGACCAGGATCGCGCTGTTTGTCACCCTTGCCGCTATCAGCTGCGGGCTGTGGATCAGCTTTCCGCTGGTTGTCGGCGAGTTCACGCACGGTAACTACCATATTCAGGTTGAGCCGCCGCTGGCTCTGCAGACACAGACGGGCTACTGGTACTGCTTGGCGTTCCAGGTCGTCACCGTGGTGCTCGGCACCATCCTGGCTCTGACCTTCGACTGCTGCTTCTTCACCTGGCTGAACACGGTCGCCTTTCATCTCTGCACCATTAGGAATATGGTTCAGGCATTAAACTCATCACAGGGGTTGACAGACACTCCCAAAGTCAAAGTCAGCCCTTCGCCATTGATGACGATCGCTGCCAAGACAACCTCGTGGAGTCTCAACTCAGTGCTAGACGAGAAGGAAGAGAGTCCGAATCAAGAGCTTCAAGACCTCCAGGACAACAATCGACGAGAAAAACAGGCTAACCTGGACCAACTCTTTGTGGGGAACGCGTCCATTGAATTAGAAAAGGCAGTGGAAACATGTGATTCAACCGAGACGCTCAGGCTCATCGACGGTTACTACAGCCAGATCGCATCTCTCGCCAATAGCATCAACCGTCTGTGCGGCCTGCCGGTGCTGATCACCCACGCCGCAACCATGACCGTGGTCCTGTTCGGCGTCTACGCCTCGATCCTGCTGGCTTCGGAGCCCTCAAAGCCCGGCCGCGGCACCCAGATCACGGGATTCGCAGTGTTCATCTTCATCTTTGTTCTACGCATCATATTTGTGTCGTTCGACGGAGGTGAGATCACGGAGCACTGGGAGGAACTTTCGGCATCACTAGCCGCCATGGAATGGCTTCACCTGCCGCCAGAGGCCAAACAGCGCAGGAAGGCCCTCTTGCAGAAGACGGCGCAGCCCCTCTGCATCAGCGCCGCCGGCGTGTTCAACATCAACAAGATCAACGTGCTGAACATCTTCAGCTTCGTGCTCACCTATCTGGTAGTCATGGTGCAGTAGAAGAGTGACAAAAGCTACAAAAACATCTCCGTCGGTTCATCTCTAGACCTGTCAGTGCTATACCTGTATGTGTTAGCTGAAAGGCAGTGTCTCTGACTTCTGTGTATTGTAGTTCGGCCCTAGCAGCACGCGCGCGTGGCAAGCGTCGGGTCCCCCGTTTCCAGACCCCCGGCCGCCCCGGGCCGCCGCCGTGGCGGCGCGGCGTCCCGGCACAGCATCCACGCAAACAGCACCACATTATGTAGTCTAGCGTTGTTTTAATTAACACTGTTCTCAGTCAGATTCACTCGGTCATTAGGTTAAGCGAAAATGGTTTGTTTCTAGTGGATGTTACTTGTAGGAATGTCATCCCCGTTCCATCCTTCTCAAAGACATGTTAGCAGTAAACTTGAAGATATAGGCAGCCTGTAGGCACCTATCATTTAACTCTACAGTGTTCTCCGGTTATCCTCAGTTCCTTAGGAATGTACGGATGTACAGGGTGATTTTTTTACACAGGGCAAAAAGTAAAGAGCAATGGCGGTACCAGAAAACAGATCAACTGACAGCAAATGTATATCTTTGTAAAAAGCACATTCTGACATTTCATTTGCACACACAAACTTTGAGTTTGAGCTCCGTTTAGGCTTACAGAACCTGCTCAAAGTGAGCACAGTTTTAATGCACGCAAGCCTGAAGTAATTGGCGATTTTGGGGAAAACATTTTGTTGTGCGCCATTTTCACGGAACTTCACAACAGAATGAGTCCCAAGAAGTCTTTAAAAGGTCCTGAAAACAAAATGACAAACAATTTCCTTTCACATGGATATACTTTTTTTGGCGTTTGTTATATGTTTGGTATCTCTAGGCTAAAAAAACTTTTTGCCCTGTAAAAAAATCACCCTGTAGTTATGTCTGCAGTTATGTAGTTATTGCTTATCTTTGGAGGTACTTCACAGGCAACTTTAAGACGCCAGTGTCAATAAATGCGGGAATTAGATTACCCGTTGGCTCATCAGGGTCACCCATGTCCAAGAGCTGTTCGCGCGGAACTCTTCTCCACATCGTGGTCCACTAGGATAGTGCTTGTGGATTTGCTGAACGTTCAATCACTCCAATCATCAAGGCGGAATCAAGGATATAGGTACCTACAATGGAATCCGCTTAACCCTCGCCGGCACAGGGGGGGGGGGGGGGGTTGATGCAACCCCTATGAGGTTTTTCGCGAATAACTCGAATAAGAAGCGGCTGATCGCAACGAAACTTTCAATACCCTCGCATTTATCAATTGTACACCTGCCCTGAAAATTTCATGACCCTGACCCAAATAATATTTGACCTGTGACCTCTTTTCCGAGACCATGTTTGGCCGGAATCGCGATTCGGCGTATGTCGGCTCGCATTAGCCGCGCGTTTGCAAGCTTTTCGTGGTTTCAAACGTTCAAACATGTGATTTGATGTTGCTCCCATGCATTAGGGTGGGTGTCAAGGTCACCTGTAGGTCAGGTCAGGTCATTGACCTTTGGTGACCTCGGTTCACTTTTTCGAGTTTTACATGTTGCTAGGCTAGTTTTTGGAACTGAATTCGAATTTAGCAACCATTTGAACATTTACGAAGTAGTTTTGGTGCCTTCGTAACATGTTACGAAGCTCTCAGAGGCGGATGACAGGTATTACGAATACCCGTCACGACCCCTACCGGTTGACCTGACCTGACCTGACCTGACCCGACCCGACCTGGTCTAAACGCTTAACGACATCATCTGTGATCAAAACTAACACGATATTCGTGATCAGCACCCCGGAAAATCCATTAGCAGCCACGCTTTACGACTTTCTAACAGGTCCCGATATTCCCGATTTTTGGGGTCATTGACCACCTGACCAGGAAGGTCAACCGATGACCTAGGACCTTAAAATTGGGTATCATTGGCTTCCTCTCGTGACGGGCAGCACGCTCGTTTTTTCCGCGAAGCTCAGCTCTATCAGGGGCCAAACGCGAGGGGACGTACCAACTTGTGCCGTCGAAGGACTCAAAATTACCTGTGAAAGCTAGATCCAATTTCTTTGCATAAGTGGACTACAAATAACACGTAGCTATCAAACTGCTATCTCAAGTTCTCAAAATTTTGAAAATTTTGAAAAATATGTTTTTACAATTACCTACAAAAACATATTTTTTTTTGATTTTGTAAAAAAAAGGACCAGGAATACATGTGATAGAACACACACTGATAAACTACTCTAGCAATTTTTAGCCCAATATCTTCAAAAATAGCCAAGTTATTTGCATTGCTGGCAAAATTTTACAATTATATATTTTTCAAAACCATTTTTAAGTCCATTTTTGACATCGCACAGCAATATAAATGGCGCCACCGTGCTCCTGAGCTCAAACTGCATCTGATAGGCACCTTTTTTGTTAAAAAAATCATTTTTCAAAATTTGACCTTTTCTGACCTGAAATATGACCTGACCTCAGGTAAATTCAGCTGAAAATGACCTCAAATGACCCTACGACATTATTTTTGAAATATACGTGTAAAATGGACCATAAAACACGCGTCACGTGACCAATACATGATATACAATTTTCGTGACCTAGGATGACCTTGCCTTGACCTGAAAAATTTGAAGTAAAAGTTCGGTACCCTCAGGGTAATTAAGGCATATATCAAAGAGTGCGTAAACAAAAAATGAGCCTGATCGGACTTGTCAGTCGGCGGCCAGAGCCTAAATTGTAAACAAGCAAAAATGTCGATATTTTTTCTATGAGCTAACATGTGACGTCATCAGTGACCTTGTGAATAATGAAAATAGGTTTCGCTCGACAGTTTTCCAGGGCTATCAGACGCTGTTTGAATTTTGACGATCGGCCCAGTAGTTTCGGAAATAGGAGGCGGGGGGGGGGGCTCTGGAGAGCCCGCCCCCCCCCCCAGTCACTCGCGTTATGGAAAATACTCCAGTCATGCGCGGGTCAATGAAAATGGCTACTCCGGTTAATAAAGTCATCGCTTAATCAATCCAAAATGTCGTGTTACCAAGGCGGATGTTACTGTAATAACTCATATCTCCCGGTCCCCAGGAGCCCGGATATTAGCATGGTGTTGCGTTCTATCGAAGCAGACTCATTTCTGTTTCGCTGTTGTCGATTTTGTGTGACCTGTGCCCCGCGTAGTGTGACTGAACGTCCCCTCACTCCTAGGCCGTAGACAACGTACATAACGTAGGTCTCCTTAGATGTAGGCTAGGCACTCCAAAGAAATGGGGTTAATTTTATTCCAAACATATTACGATGTAGAAACATGTGTCCCGACTCCCGACTGGACCTCGGAGCCTAGATTTTTTTGTGCTTGCGAAAAGCAAGCACCATGCTGGGGATGTCAGCACCACAGCGTCTTCTTGTGATCGTTTCTGTAAACAATCAAATACTCATTTTTTGGTATAACAAACGACTCCCAATAAATACCTTCATCATGAAGCATTTGGTAGAAATGACAAAATTGATGGAATGCATACAGCGGTCCAGACAAAAAATAAACAACTAAGTCGCCCGTGTGCAGTGTACACTGTACACTGTCACTATTCAAACATCCCACCATGTACGGAAGTGTCAAACTCCGAACTGTTCGTGTCGATTATCGAGTTCTGACCTCAATGGCCTCGGCAAACCTCCATAAATGTCTGCTCAACAAAATGTATTCGCAGCGCGGGCACTAGACACTCGTGCAAACGGAAACAAGGGCAAAGGCGACACAGAACCGGGTACAGCCGCGCGACGACATACAATGACGTCACCCCGACATCACACTCGATCCCGACAGTGACGCTCTGACGTCACACCATCAGACACCCCGTGGGACGCGGATACGACACCAGAATGGGGTCCACCGCGCCGCCTCGGTGTCTGCCGGCCCATGGACTCTCACACACACGCTTATACTCCCGACACTTCGTCATGGCTGCGCAGCTGAGACGTCAGCGTAAATGCTGCACACTTCCTCGGTTACAAATCGGAGGGATAAGTCGTTGTCGGATATGCAGCATTTTAGGGCGATCGTGAGCACTGGATCATGTTTGCACCGACACAAGATAAGCAGTATCCGGTGAAAAGACCGATTTGGAACAACAATTCGATAATCGTGATTAACGTACCGAGTACCGAACTTGTCGAACTTTCCTTCCTGTTACAGAATGAGCTGAATCCATAGGCAGCCGTTACCTACGATTACGGTTGCAAAAAAAGTTCACAAATGTAGGCATAGACTGCCGACCGCGACATCATTTGTTCCCTGGGTAAGACAAGTACCCATAAGGTCTCACAAACTGCAGATGTTACATTGAAATTCACGGGGGGCCAGAGCATACATCGCCATCGTCCACATCGTCACACACATCGTCACATTTCACCGCATTCTACATGTGCAGACTATCGCCCTGTGCAGGCTAGGTGGCGCGTGCTCGCGACTGCTGCAGTGCTGTCGGTGAAGACTGACGGTGGTGCAGGGATTTGGTGCGTGTGTTGGTGTTGCTGCTGCTACTGGTGCTGTTGCTCGGTGCTGTTGCCCGGTGCTGGTGTTGGTACTTTGGGTTTGGTGTCCTAAAATATCGGTACAAAATAGTGAACGTTTTCTCAGTGTATGATCGTCATCACATTTCAGTGAGAATAAGCCACTTTCTGGTAAAATAAGGATGCTTTTAGTTTCAATATTTTGGTAAAAATGATGCACATTCGACTTTCGAGCAGATGCTACATCAAAGATCAGTCAAACAACACCCCGGCAACTCTTTCAATACTGCTGGATGAATCGTTTCTCACATTCCCATCCCTTGGTATTCGTACTGTCTTTACAAAATGAGTAAATAATGACTTAACTTTTAACGACTTCACTCAGCAATCACACAAACCCTCAAAACAATGAACGGTCATTCCATTATCATATGCAATGCACCCATGGTCCTGAAGACATGACGATAACTTTCATTGGATAAAGACAGATGTTTCTCTATTTTAACTCGTCCTTATTTTTATCGAATACCGAATAAGCGTTAGGGTAAACCATCCAGATGAACCAGACATGCAGAACAGCTTTCGCATCGTCGAAAACGTTATTGCTTTCCAACTCGTCCCTGGCAGAAACAAGCATTACTTTGTTAGAATTGATTTGAATGTCACGAGTGTTTCACCAAGCATGGTGGAATTGTTGATATCTGTCTATATGCAATTGTCTCTGTTGCCAAACTGCAGTGGAGTAGCACTGAAACCCTGAGTTGTGGTATAGTGGCAGGCACATGCAAGCTGTTTGATTTAGTTCAGATCTGGTGTTCTATAACTTAGAAAATGCAACCGAAGAGTGTGAAAATGATATGCGTTCATGTCCTGCGTGAAAATGAATAGAAGAGACACGGTCACGGCTCGTTAGCGCTTCGAATCGACTGATTCATCGCATCCAACATGCATTACATGCATTCACTCACATTGGAACTGACCTTCCAAATACGCACATTGTCATGGCTCACTGAACTCCCCATTGACAGCATATCAATCACCCTAAGGAGATTCGTTTCGTCTCCCACGTAACTTGTCTAACCGGTGGGGCCTCGGACCGTACCGCTGGTGCCCCTCCCATGGCACAGCCGTCACGGCAACGACAAGAGCGCCACCTACCCAACTAACCATGCATACGCCGCGACACACACCAACATTGGCTAAAGTTCACTCCACAGAGAGCGCAGTCCTAGAATTTAGCCATTTTTGACTGCGCAATCTCCGCGTACAGGCCACCGACATGGTGAACTACCTGTCAACGGCACAGATTAACATATGACATATCGACGAACGACCTTGGGCCACTACCAGCACAACGTCATCGGCTACCGGGAGGAGACACTGACAGCCCGCACGCCGGAAGACATCAACACTGACCGCTAACACTAGCTAAGCCATGGCGTCGCTTGGACGCTAGATGTCTCTGATGTGCTCGACCAGATTGTATAGAGGGCGCTTAACTTGCCGGTACCGTCGTAGGACGGCAGCGCGTGCCGCCGAAAACATGGCCGCCGACGAGAGAGAAGACGTGTATGTGTGTGTCATGTTATCACTGGTTCTCGGGAAGCACAACCAGGACCTTTTGCAGGAGGCGAGTGAAGGCTCCTGAAAAGGCGGTGACGATGTTAGCGACATCTAAATATACAACTTAATTGGTGCGATTTCTCAATTTTACTCTTGGGCACGGGTAATAGGCGCCTGGAGATGAACTTTCGTCCAGGTCATTACGCGTAACAATGTGCTACCATTAAAAAAAAAAAACACTTGACCATAAAGATGTAACTTCAACAAAACATACTAAGGTACGTTCATAGAATTCCAAGCACAGAAATGCGATAAAACATTCCAGCACCTAATAGAAGTCATAGCTACTGCGCTCGTATACACCTTATTACTATCCCTGAATACCCCATGCACGTCCAGGCCCCCATACGGTAGTATCAAAGGTTCCAAATTTATTTGGGCTTCCATTCGCTTTTCCTTTCACTTTGACATAAAAGCATAACTTTACGTTTGCCCCGTGCATTTAAGTGTTTCTTTTTAATTTAAGTATGAATAAAAAACAGAAGGGAGTTTTCAGAATGAAGGCATGGGACACATTTGATTCATTCGCAAATCGTATTCAAACTTGGTGTAAAATGACTACCGCAAAATAGTTTAGATTGTTTTCGAAACGCTCTGCAAAGACGAAGTGGAAACTAAATGTGTTCTTTCTGGAACCGTCCCCTAGTATAAGTATACACCGGCATTGCCCATTGCAAGCAAGCCCCGTAACGCTCAAAGCACGTGCTGGCCAGTGGACATCGGTGTTCAGGCAGCGTTGATAACACTACCGATCCCCAGCGACTTTCTCACTCCAGCTGCTTCAGCTCATCGATACAGAGACATGACTAATTGAAATAACGAGAAAAAAACATTGACAAACCATTTATATCCTGAATAAAAGCTTGAAATATAATCCATCTCGTATCTAGATTACTAGGGAAATGACGCTCCTTCAGATACATTTATCGTTTTACAACAAAAGTAGTTTTGAACAATTGCTTATTACTTATTAACTAATAACAAAGCAACAGGACAAAGCACAAGTTTTCTACAGAGGCGGTAATCGATTTTGTGCATTTCATTTATCAATAAACCTGTCTGCATCTCAGCTATCTCGCACGTCCACCTGCACCTTCCCTATCGACCTACACCGATGGGCGGCTCTCCCCAGCGCGCGGCCGCGGGTCGGATGACCGGGTCAAACAGTGTGTCTGCTATTCCTCCCCGACCACCATCATTAGCTTCTGAACCTGACGCGTGGCCGCCGCTAGAAGAGAGGGGAGACACAGAGGACGGGCACACACGTCAGCAAGCGGCGCACCCAGGTGCAGTTCCGAGCCCCACCCGTAGCGGGGCGGGGCAGAGGGGCGGTGGTGCGCGTGCGGGTGCCGCTAGTGACCCAGGCGCGGCAGGGAGATGGGGAGAAGAAGAGATAAGAAAACAGGCATGGTGTCATGGAATAAGGAAGTGGCAGAAAATTAGGCAACAGAAAAAGTAAGAACAAAGCATTAAGCAATATTAATACATAAATATAAAATAATCGGTCTGTAAAATGGCTTTCTGACCGGAGGGATGCGAGAGCTTACAAAAAATAAAACATAAGAAATATAATGAGATCTTCTTGGCTTTCATCAGGCAGAAATAAAACCATACATTTGGTCGAGCAAGGCGAAAGTAAATCATAAAAACTTGAAGTACTCGAATTATATTAAAATAAGCCGGAAAAAAATATGTGGAGCCATGGAAGTATCTTGGATCGGGTACCTAGGTCACAAGAGGAAGACAAAGAGTGAGCAGGAACAGTCAGTGTGGGCAACCCCAAATAGGCACACATCTCAGAGCAGTATACATACAGGCACGCGGTTAGATAAAAGCAGGCAGCATTCCTCACTAAATACTAACTACTTGAGCAGGCGGAAAGTCAATCGAAAAAGAATGCACGGAAAATGGTATTTAATGATCAATTAGAGCTTTGTGGAGCACGCAATGTTACTTGTGGGAACATGTTTTCTTCATTACATTGGCAAAATTGTTGTTTGGGTGGAAGGAACAAACAACGCTGTAATTTTGACATTAACAAACATATGTTTTCAGTAGCCTTATCAGCATGTTGTCTAGTTTTTTTTTTACCGAAAAACAGTGATGATTGCAATTAGGCTGGTCCCGTAGCTCAGTTGGTTAGAGCGTTGGACTCCGCGTGGTGAGAGCACGCGTTCCCGGTTAAACAGTCCGGGTTCGAAGCGCGACGGGTGCTTGACGTTTATGGGCCTCCTGACAGGTATGGTTGCGGTTGGTGGCAGGCCGTAGCCAGGCGAAGTCAGCGAGGGGACCGGCCGTGCGCGGCTTTGTGCGCACGTTAAACTTTGGACTCTAAATTCTACCATAGAATCGGAATTGCGCGATCGGAGGGTAGAGGGCAGGGTCATCGCAACAAGCTTCGCTTAGCGGTGGCTCTGTCCTCGTGAATCCTTCCCATCAAAAGGTTCGGACAAAATTTATAAAAAAATTAAAACTAGTAAATTTAATGCAACGAAATCTCGCAGTTCAATAGTTTCAATAACACCAGCCCAGTCAACTACACCCGTTGCGTAAGTAAGTTAGAGGTTAGTTCAGCCCGCCGTTCCGTGCCCGCTGTTGTTCCGGCCAGGCCCCATCCCCCACTGCGGGGGAATGGGACGCCCCTCCGCTCGGGCGGGCCGGGCCATGCCTCGGACACCTCTCACACCTGACTTATAGAAGCGAGGCTCGGTCAGAAGGGTTCTCTCCGAGTCGACACGACGTCGATTCGAACCTAAGACCGCATCGGGCCGTTAGTAAGAACGGAACAGGGAACAGAACAGCCGGGAAGAGCGCTAGAGACAGAACAGCTCGGCCGGCACAGCCCGACAGCTCACAGCGTGGCACAGACAGAAGAAGAAGCTAAAGTAATGGCAAACATAACAAGTATCGGAGGCGCGATGCTAACAGAGCAAACGAAGAAAGTGGTGGGTTGAAAGCAGCTAAGATTAAACAAAGCGTTATGACGAAATATAATATTGATATTAGTGCAACATCGAGGATATCTGCCATAAAGCAGTGTAACAGGGCATAGACAGGCATGCTAAGGCGGACAAAAACGAACACAGCAAATAGGCGGCAAAACAAACACATATACAAACACAGCAATTTAGCAATCGACGTCATCAGTAATCTAAGCGAACATCACAACAGAGAAAGCAAAGTTTCTAAAATATAATAGAAACGCTCCCAAGTAAAGAAAGGCTGCAATGCTGAATAAAACAAAACCCAACTGAGCTGCGGACAGCCCAGCACAAGATAGGGCGTTCTTACCGATTGACTTGTTGATAACTGCTGGCTTCTTCTTCCACGCAATGCACACTAGGTAGACGGGCACGCCGCTCAAAATGATGATGAGGCCGAACCCTGAAGCAAAACAGGACAATAAAAGAGGTCAGAGGAATCATTTAAGCCACTTCGGCACTAAAGGGGGGAGATGATTCATAACATAGGTACCAACACTCTTTGCTAATAACCAATGGCACTCTCTGTATAACGCTACGAGAGGTATTTTCACCGTGGTAAAGAAATAATGAGTGAAATATGTCAAGATAACAAATTATCTTTTTATACAAATCGACAGCACAATTTAACGTCGTCGGGTACCGGCGATGGCTCGTGACGAGCCCAAAGCTGACCGCTGCCAGATGCCTTGCCGACTTTGATTTCGGTGGCGTAAACCAAGGCGTCTGCCATCACTCAACAGTCCGGACGCTGTCAACCGACCGTGGTAACATTCTCAAGATCACGAGAGCCGAGCCCTTTGCGGCAACGGAAAGATTCCAGCATGCATCAGCACACCTCATCCGACCGTGCGTGTGCTGTGCATTTGATCTGGGATAACCTCGCGATTCATTCAGTCGGCTTCAATAATTCGCACAGAACAGATTTGCCCTCTCCGCTTAGTCTGGGCTCACACTAGGAGGCGAGCGGGAGGCTTTCCTCATATCATCACCTTCCATGGCGCTACCCATTCGATCGTTTTTATTTCGTAAGTGTAGATATGTGAAGATGCAGTGAAATGTTATCCCCGAGGTGTTGGGAAAGATGGAAGAGGGATGGGGTGATAAGTTTTTGGTAGTCTCTTAGCGGCTGACGGCTGCGGAGTGTGAAACAATCCGACATTGGTTGATCGGAGTGGCCTCTTGGCCGATAAGCGGAATTCGTCAGTCTGGCAGAATAGCATTTTCTCAACTTCTGCAACTTCTGAACTTTACCAACTGCTGATCGAAAACAGTTCGCCAAAGTGCTGCCCTTTATCCAACCGCTCTGAACAGCAAAATCTCCTCATGGCCCCACCAAAGGTCTGCGATTGCCTTTCATTTTTTTCTTTTTTACGGGCGCCCTAACGCTCTTCCGTCGTCCTTCGGCTACCCCCGTTCCATCCCGCTCCATTCCGAGTTGCTGATGGCATTGCCGTGTTCGCTCTTCTGCAGGCGGTCGGAGTTGACGGAATTGTGCAGTGGGCTCACAATAGGCCAATGACGGCCGCAACGCGGCCCGCCGACGAATGTCAAAGGCAGCCAGCGACGGCTGATGAATAGGGAGGCAGACGTACAGGAACCCAGAGAAAGACCGCACCGAAACAGAATGCAACTCTGCCGGAACTCTGCAATGGGGTCCTCAAAATAGCATGCCAATGTCGAAAGTTGAGTTTGGGGTTCTCAGGGCACCTTAAAATTCCTGTTGAAGATATTTTCCCTTTCAAAAATTGCTAGGAAATTATCAAACCAACTCAGAAATTCCTAGAAGCATCTGCGTGACTTAACATGACTTCTCTTGTGCAGGAAATAAGATTAGTAAGATTCGTTGTGCTTCAAATTCCAAACAGTGAAAAGACACGTCCGCTTGCTTCCGCTGTAGCTGTAGCTTGTGCTTATATTCCTCTTTAGCCTAAAGTGTCGGCGGCGGAACAAATGACGTCCATCATCCCTCGGACGCAGCCCATCCGTCAGAGCACTTCATTACAGCGTGGACTCATCTCTGGCTGACCGCAACGCCAGCCACACAGGATAGTGTTGTTTGCCGTAATGAGTTCTGGCGCTACTGAGAGTCCACGACCCCGTCAGGCGTCAGCAACAGTACCTACACCCAAACTCGTCAAAAAGCCACAAGAAGCCACAACAGGGCCTGTTCTTCCTGCGGATGGTGTTATATCCTCCATCTCGTTACCGAGTCTTTACACGAGAGTTTCACCAGACCAACCAAATCTAACTGCTCGCCCAAAACTGCTTTTTCAAGCAGCAGCATTTGTCTCCCGCGACCTCGCCTAACGCCCACTACCCACTTATCCTGAGGGCTCCTGCTGTCAGCACTCAAGCGCCGACTAAATCACGGAGAACTGGATGGTAAAGAGGGTCGGGCGACTGTCAGGAAACCATGAAGAAAGGTCATGAGGTCACTGTGAAGTGGTATATTGTGACCCAGGGCGGAGGCCGTTATTTAGAAGCAGATAGTAAAGGCGAGTGGCCGTCAACGCTGTATGAATTGTAAAAGCTGGCCTTTATGGAGACGCTGGACAAATGATAACCTATGGGAAACCATACAAATATTGGCATAGCACTTCCTAGCTGGGTACCAATAACTCAGTTCTTCGATTTAAGGATAAATGCATAATTGCACAATGTGTGTGCATAAATGCTCGCAAATACGTGGGGAAGCTTCCAGATAATACGAACACTGACAAACTGCACGCAATCAATCAGTAAGAGCTGAAAATGCAACTATCATTTAAAACGTTTCCAATATTGATTTCCAATACGCGATATCGACGGTAGCTGTTTTATGCGAGAGACCAAATTAATTAGATTATTTGTCGTTTGTTAATCACTCCTCGTGTTTGGCGTTCACTTGATCCACTCGATACCGTTGGGGGTGTGGAGGGGGGGGGGGGGGAGCCTCGGTGGGCTCTGGTCATAGATCGGTCCCTGAGCGACCCTGTGGGCCGACCACTATTGGCTGACCGCCACTGCACTACGGGGCACGGCAGGCCGATTGAAGACCCTCACACGAGGCCGAATCAAGTCCCGAGCATGATCACGCTGTTGACATGGTCAATGGAAAGTTTGCCGATTGATAACACTATGGCGTTCGATAAGAGTGCGTCAACGCATACCAACTAATATCGTGACCGTGGTCAACAACTCCACTGAACCACCAGCCCTACCCCATGGCCTTGCTGCTGCAACCCACCGGTCTCAACGGGCTTGGCGATCATCGGCATGATGGTGATGAAGATGGTGGCGATGATGTAGATGATGGGCCAGAAGAGGTTGACGCGGATGGGTCTGACCAGGTTGGGCTGCGTCCAGCGCAGCACGGGCAGACAGAGCACGCCAGCGCCAATACTCAGCTGTGGGTGCGGAGAAAGAAACAGCCATAACAAGTGCGGCTAGTCGAGGAAATACGCATGGCGATAGAGGAACGCCTTGTTTTCTGGGTCGTGAGACAGAGATAAAGATCGCACTTTTGAGTGGGGATTTTACATCTTGGCTTTACAAAATAGCACGATAGATGGGTGAATGTGGATACATGGCGTTATATCCCCGTTGCACGGTAACTAATGTCACCAGCATGAGCAAACAATGATGTAAAACACTGCAATAATTAGAAATGTGCTTTTGGAAAGCATCTTACCCATGTCGCGAAACCGACGTAGTTGATGAGGGCGAAAATATCAGATGACGTCAGGTATACGAGCGACAGCAGAGCCTGACGACAGGAAATTCATGTCAAATATTTCATCACTAAAACACTCCCTGCAGGGGCAAACCATGAACAAATTGGCACTAAGAGACATATATAAAACGTGCTGTGGTGAAATTCTACCGCAATACTCACACTCCAGCATGGAAATTGAGCAATAATGCCACACTTATTTCCTCACATCCATTGGACCGAACGACCCCACAACATTGGATTTCGCCATATTGCTGGTAGCCTGCCGTCTGCCACAGTGCCTCAAAGTGCCGTCCTAGTACTAGTTACTGCAATGCCGACCCATTGACGCCCCCAAACGTCCCAATACCGCCCCTTTTACCGCCCCAGAGACATTTCAGTAGAACCGGCACGAGCTATCTCTGGGGTTCACGCGGCACGTACGATAGGACAAACACGCGCTTCATTGCCACACTCGCCAACTGTCAAGCGATGCCCGTCAGTTTTGGCCAAACAGGGTGCACCCGAAGGAATAACAACGTGCCACGGGTAAGGCGATACTGGTGAAATTTGCATTGGTATACTGTCTGAATACATGTGCTTCCAGAACAGTGTTCGTCATGGGCCGCAAAATCCCAGTCCAGCCCGGCCCAGGCCCATGGTTTCACAGCCCGGCCCAGCCCGAGCCAATTCGTGAATAAAAGTATCAAAGCCCAGCGCGGGCAAGCCCATCAAAACTGAATTGATAAAAAATAATGGACATCACACAGGTATTATATCATCCAAAGGTAGCAATAAAACAATCTTTTGAGAGCACCATGCACAAAGTATATTGCTCATGTATGCTTCATCAACTCGTGCTTGAATCTTGCACAGTAATCACCTATTTATGGCTTCCGTCTCAGTCACGAACCCCTCAGTCAACGTTCCAGTTCTTGGCCCAGCCCATCCACAGCCCATCGGTCCTTGATATTTGCGGGCCCAGCCCAGCCTGTAGCCCAGCCCAGCCCATGGCCCATTGGGCTGGCCCGGCCCGTGGCGAACACTGTTCCAGAATCCAGAGCGGCAAAAACATCTAAAACTGTATCATAAAAGTATGCTGCATTTTAACACGAAACAATATCTAAAACATTGTTGCAGATCATTTATATTGTGCTTTACTCCCCAAAGCAAGTTCGAAACCCCCCGCTGCCCGAAGTTTAGAACTTAGAAGCCACTCACCACGAAGAGGACGGCGGGGGCCGGGGTCAGCCGGTTGACCTGAATCATGGTCAGAATCTCTGGCATCTGGCCCTCGCGAGCTCCGGCATAGAACAATCTGTCAAAGAGAAATAAACTGATCAGTGTCTGTCTCTGTAAAGTGTTGGGTAACGCATACCACTCCCTGACAGCAATAAATCGACACTTCCAACAGTCGACATATGTAGCATATGGTCTACGGACGTAACTTCATGGATATAAAACATTTCAACGCAGATATGATAGCATCATAAGACATTGCAGCAGCTAATAGAAAATTTCTTCTTGAAATATTGCATTAGCATGTAAGTTGAAACGTTTATTTTTCAGGACACAAATGTATTATTCGACATGCGATATTACCGAACAATTTAATGAAGTTACCGATAAAATCTGACCTGAAAAAAACCTGAATAAGTACTGGTTCCAGTGTGTGTCTGTCCGGCCTCAGTCTCACCTCGGGGTAGCGAGTAGGACACCGTCTATGTCTCTAGCCTCAAGCGAGTGAGCAAGAAATTATTCTCACCTCGAGCTTGTCAGTAGGATGCCGTTCTCACTTCTAGCTGATGTGCAGGATATCATTCTCACCTCTATCTACCGTTCTCTCCTCGAGCTGTTGAGCAGGATATTGTTCTCACTTTGGTGTGCCATTCTCACCTCGAGCTACCGTTCTCACCTCGAGCTGGTGAGCAGGATACCGTTGAGGCCTCCGAAGGTAGACATGGCCACAAACATCGGAATGATCCACGCCATGTAGCCGTAGTGCACCTGAGCGAAACTCTGAAACAAACGAATAAACGAATGATTAATGATGTGCAAAAATGAGCACGTGTGCATAGAAAACGGTATTTTGTTATTGGGGATTTATATTTGCCAGATGGGAGAGTCGTTATTTGGAAAGTCAACTTCATAAGTAAGAAGTGTTCATCGACCAAACAGGAACGGAACAATTAGCATCTGCGAATTGCTTTTTTCGAGTCAATAATTGGATACCACTTAGATTCAAAATGCGCAAGACTCTCTATCAAGTCGAAATCTCATCAAAATGATTAGATGTACGGCGAGCAAATGAATCAAATGTATCTTCTTTTAACTCTTTTTTTTAGTTACGACCGAAAAATCTAAAATGGCTACCACAGCCCTTGAAGCCATTATCGTCTTAGGTGGTGACAGCGCCTCTCCGATGGGAATTTCTGTCCCCACTCAACCATAATACCATCAATCTTGTCGGCTTGTCGTGTCAAAGCGCATCTGGAAGACGTCCGGCGGCTGTCACACCCGTCGCACGCGTCACAAGATGGCGCCGCCGGACCGCTGTTCCCTTGGTACCCCCTCCCGTCTCCCCCCCTCCGCGGAGATGGGGGCGGAGGCGCGTGCCCCGTGTTTATGACTGCCCGTTCGGGCTCAATCATCCGGCAAAGCTGGGCATAAATAAGGAGCGTCGGGAAATGCAATGCATTCCATGCTCTTATAACGGGGAATGCGGTTTATTTTAGGAGGCTGGCTGAGAGAAGTTCAATATGCAGTTGACCACACACACTGTAACCACACTGAGCTAAAAATAAGAAGGATTGCATTAAACATTTACAATTTTGTCAGTTAAGTGTGAAAGTTGTATCTGCTACAAACAAACTGATAACACATTTGTAGGGTAAATGATGTCGCACATAGAAGTTGTACCTAAACAACAAGCAAAGCTTCTGTCTCAGCACTATGTTATGTTAGCACTATGGATGCGCTATGGATGTTAGCACTACGCAGCACAACGAACCCTTTAGTATTTTTTCATTGCTAGAAGCAATTGTATTGTCCTAAAGACATTCGGTCGCATTGTTGCGACCGAGCGACGGGGCGTGCCATTCCCGTCGCACCGATTTCATATTTCCAGTCGAGTGGGCGTGGAAATCGGTCGTTGGGAGTGGCTCCCGGCTGATGAAGTCCTCTGATTTCCCCTCCCTCCCCAACCCCGCCTAGCGATGACAGTGGTGAATTGTGGGGCGAGGTCAGCGTTTCGCACCGTCGGAACTATTTACATACAGCTCGCAGTTACCCGGAACATGCTCCCTCGGAATAGTGAGGCGCGGGAACAGAGCTCTTTAGACCCATCAGTTCATTGTCATGTTAAATGATATACATTAACACAGGAAACTCGGAGAGATTTTAGATATTTTAGGATGCCCAAAATATCATTGGTGGCATTCGAATCATGAATATGGTCTTTTTCACGCACAGGAGGCATACGTGTATTGGTATCCATCGATGGAATATAAAATACAGGGTATAGACAAAAAGTGTGATTAATTTTCATCAGACCTTTCTGAGGTACCTAAATGTTTGCACATATGCAAAAGCTTCCTTTGCCCCTCTCTCTTGAAGCTGCAGCCTCCGATTAAGGCCACTTCAACAACCATGTTGTTGGGTCACAGCAAAATAAACAACCCAAACACACTTACTCTAATGGTGAACACAGCAAGTGACGACGCAAGTCACCGTCCTACCGTTATGCAGACACGTATCATATTTCATAGACCAACAAACGCTTGCCGCTTAGTGAGGGCTACTTGGGTGGGTTATGACACAATAAACGATGCCGTGTTCCATTTTCACGAATTTTGTTTATGGGGCGTAGAGATCTGTCGCCTCCGTAAAACCGTATCTGAGCCTCCTCTTAGCTCACTTATGAACACTTCCAAAGCAGAGTGTGTACTGCAAACCAGAGTTTGTGGACCATTTGGCATTACCTTTGGTCAGTTATTATACGGTCTATTGGATGATGTGTATGTTTTTGTCTTACGACTGTGTTTTGCACGGCCGAAGAAACCTGCTGCATTCTGATTAAAGCGGCTGTTTTTCTTTCGCACTGATGTAAGCAGCACAATCCACCATCGTAAAGTTGAACCTTCAAGAAGGCATGCGATCAAAAATAAGCATCGTCCCAGTACAGAGCCATGGAGGCCGCTGCACTCCTAACGAAATAACGGTCTACCCAGCTGGACCTGGCCTTGCATTGCCAATGAACCAAACACCACTAAGCCACCGTTCGTCCCACCGCGACGCTCCACCGCTCCTGAGATGGGATCGTCCTAACCCACAGTCTACACCCCTCATCACCTTCATTGCCATGCAGGCCACGCTGCCTGCTACAATGCGCACGTGCTCTGTGCTCGTGGTTTTTCCCCCGAGGAAGAGGTCTTCACTTGGTTGCATGGGCCACATGGTGGGGTCCTGGGTCCGAACAATGCCCAGCCCAGGTCGAAGGCAACGGGTGGGCAGGGTGGACACCGGTGGTGTAAAGGAGTTTATGGTGCTGGAAATTTGCCTGTCGCTGATCACTGATCAGTGATGAGCGTATTGTGCGAGTCACTGACAACGGACTGCCATTGAAAGAATAGTGGATTGCATTCGCCTATAGAATGGCGGCTAGAGCGACATCTTCGAGATGATTCATTTGTAGACATGATAATCCATTTATGCAAGAAGTTAAAACGTTGATCGCGTAAGCCGATAGGAGCCGATTTAGTTCCTTCATTGAACATCCCAAATTACGGCATAGGATACTGCCAGGCTAGCTGGTGACGTGGAATAGAGAGCGGAAATCGTGATGCACGTCTTCAGCCGTCCATCGATCACTGAGCTGACATCGATAATGGACTTACGGTGGCAGCGATTGAAGTTCCGAAATTCATGGGACAGCTCTCACAGCTAGGACGGGAAAATAAGCCAGAAATTAAAACAAAACTACAAAAAGGTGCTGCGTGTATCTAAATGCAAGTACTGTGCTTTATGACAAAAAGTGGGACGCTCTAAACCAAAATATAGGAAGAACAGCCAACACAAATCTGCTTGCACTAAACTGACCTGTTTCGGTTTTTACCACACCCCTAAGGCGACTACGACCCAACAGTCCCTGACACGACCTCTGACAGCCAGCGACCTGGCACCGACAGATCAACACGGTGACGCACCCAGAGGCTCTACTAAAACCAACAGATCAGATCTGTCTAGTGATACACCAGCGAGCACAATTCAGTTGTCCTGGCGGCGGGCCAGGGTGGGCCACAGTGTCCGTCACCCGCCGCGTCCGAGTCACGTGAGGTCATCAGGGGTCACAAGGTCCGGACAAAACCCGACCGGGTACGGCGCATTCGACGCTGAGTCGCTGCCAATGCAGCAGTCGCCAGAGGTTACTAAAAAATCCCCCGTCTGAGTTAGGAGAAGAGAGCCAGAGGCCGGCTTAATAAATCACTTAGCTGCGCAAAAACTCACACAAAAAATCCTCTAAAAAGTTTCCAGAGCATGAGGAAACCCTGAAAGACAGACATTCATTCTTACGATAGCATCTGCCTCCGGTATACACTCAAGTCATGACAGCGGCTCACCATAGGTAGATAACTAATATGATAATATAACGGCTCAGCATAGGCAGTCAGTTAATATGAAGATCCGTGAAAGGCGAGGGCACTCACCACGGCGACAGCGTTGGAGGAGAGCACCTCCATGGGGCTGAGGGTGGTGTAGAAGGCGATGTTGGTCAGCACGTACACCAGCGTCACCAGGATGATGGAGATGGCGATGGCACGCGGCAGGTTCCTGATGGTGGAGAGAAACGAAGGTCAGACTAATGCGCGAAGACTTCCAGACGAAGACATTTCATTTCAGGAGACATTTGCACTTCAAACAAGTAATGATTGATCGCGCTACTTCTTCACTTAGTGCCCCGTTTAAAACGTTTATTTACGAAGCAAAGAATCCATAAACGGTTCCAACAGATAAAGTGCGCATGGTATTGTCCCGACAGTTATAGGTACGTGGGACTGATGAATGTTTCATGAAAAACCTGAATATTTGACGCTATGGCGAGCAATAGGTGCAAAACATACATGTCTCGTGTATTCGGACGAGACTTACCGGACGGGGTCCTTCAGTTCTTCAATGATGAAGTTCAGGTAGTTCCTGAAAAAAATAGAGTTAGCACGGTTAGGGCAAACAAACATAAGCCAGAAAACGAAATCATTTAAATCAACTGGCCATTCAGGCACTTTGCTGCTTTGTTGGAAACAAATTACTGCATTATCATCTTATTCACGTTAGCTGTATCGGTAATCATAGTAGTCCGGAGTCTCACATCCTCGACAATCCCCTGCAGTTATCGTATTTTTGACTTTAGCTTATCTGTCGTCTAGCGCGGCCTTCACCTCCCCCTGGGTTTATCCGCGCTGCCTGCAGCCCGTCTCAGACCGGACCGAACCAGTGTGACCAGACCTGACCGGCTAACACGGGGGAACACAATCAGGGCTGAAGAACCCGGAAGGGTTGGTTCCGTGCACGGCGGCGAGCTTCACGGTTGAGCTGGCCAGACGCCAACACAACACGCTCCGTGACTTGGTGACAGCCGGACAGCTTGGACCATTAATTTTCCGCGACCCCTGTCCTCTGGTCTCGGATCGCTGACCAGTGACAGCTCTACTGTCCTCATATCGTGTCGGTCCGGTGCTCTATAGGCGCTGCATTAGCTGTTCCACGGCATCGTTCGCTGGATTCTGCAGCACGGTAAGTTTTTGGCAAAATTATAGTAGCGCATTTTAGCTTAACCAAAATAGTTAACGGCGGCCTCAATTGCAGGTCAGACAGCGATTCTCAGCAGTCCATCTGTATAATAACATAATGTGTGATGAGGTTACCCATACCATTATCTCATTCAGAATAATCCCCAGGGATGATCCCCGATGTCCGAGCAGGCGGCTCTAGGGAGATCCATTGCCGCACAATACTGGCGAGCCCAGGGGACGGGGCAGACACAGCCGGCCGCCCACTCGCCCGATCCCCAGCGTCGCCGGACCATCGCCTCAGGCGAGATGATCAGAGGCCTCTTGCACCAAAATCCTCTTGCACCAATGCTTGGATTATTTTGCAATGTATACCCAGTCCAAGTCTCAAATGTAGCAATTTACGTGCAAAATTTAGCAAGCACATGTAGGATTATGTATTGGGCTATTGCAAACAAATTTACCACCGTTAGATTAGCTTATTCTGAAACCGGTTTTTCGATTTTACCTAGCTAGGTAGTTTGGTGCAAGAGGCCTCAGGTCAGCGGCACACTCGGGGATACCACGTGACCGCCGTCGTCGGCGCCCGGCAGGCGAACCACGTGACCCAACGTGGTAGGGCGGTGGGCCGGGGAGAGGTGTTTTGATGAGAGACCCTCGGCGCTGTTTGCCGTTCCGGCGACCTAGGAACGGCAAACAGCGCTGCTGTCGCAGCCATTGCCGCCAGAGCGCCACCACTGCCACCATCGACGCCGACGATGGTGGGGACTTCATGTGAGCAGTGAACCGTCGGTAAATCGATCGACCCCAGCCGCTGGCTGTCCACACTTCACAGTTCCCAGCGCTTCGTAATATCCTTCCGCGAAACAGCGACAGCTCGCTTCGGGTACGGCGCAGCACGCCCCTACGGCGTGGACGGACCGAGAAACGCCTCTGGAGGTGGAATGGTGGCGGAAGGGGTATCGTTTTACCACGGGATGAGATCAGTTGGTCACTGCAATCATCAGTAGGGGGTTGGGTGGGTCGGGGAGGGACAGAGATAGTACAAACTACGAGCCGAGTCATCCATTTGGCACAGGATATAACGGTTGGAGAGAGGGGGAGTGCATGGGGCGGGTACGAGAAAGAGGAGAGAGAGAGAGAGAGAGAGAGAGAGAGAGAGAGAGAGAGAGAGAGAGAGAGAGAGAGAGAGAGAGAGAGAGAGAGAGAGAGAGAGAGCGGGGGGGGGAAAGAAGAGAAACAAGGGAGAGAAGCACTAGGTTAAGAATAAGACAATGTGGCGCAATAGGCCGAGAGGAAGACGGTCGCAGTGGGAACTGCGCAAAAAGCGACGAAGATCGATGCGTGGAAAGTTGGCGAAGGCGAGCGGCTGGAAAATATGGAACGTGAAAAGTCGTGAGTAGGGAAAGAAGAAAGGACGTACTTACCAGAACAATTTTTATGATCATGGCATGGGCATAGCCTGCAGGTAGATGCCGCTAAACGATAGATCAAAATAAAAATGATCAAAATAAAAGGTATACCGTTTGGGTATGCTAAGAATTTGGATTCAAGAGCGCTTATGGGGCTGCTGTTTACGTGTAGAGAAGATCATCTTCCTTTCCCATTTTCAGACGTTATTCATCGTAAATTGGATCTACAATGGAAGCCTCAGAAGCGTCGTGGGGTACTCCTGGCAGTGAGCCAATTAGTGCTTGTTGTGGCTATGGAGCGACATCCAATTCCCACTTCCGGCCAATCTATTTCAATTGGCGAGCCCTCATCCCGCCGACAACGCCCACTTTTAGCGTGCCGCCGCCCCAGCTGGGCCGTCGGCGGTACCGTACGTGAGCGGCAGCACCGCCACCGACAGGGGAGTGTCAGGAGGGGTCGTTGGGGTCAAACTGGGTCATGTGGGAGGGTGGAGAGGGAGTGAATTTAAACCGCAGCGAGGCAGAAACCGAGACCGGACTGGGCGGCGGGCCACGGGACGGGGTGGACGGGGTCACTGACCCCAGGCAGCAGCCAGGGGTCAGTCGGATGGCAGCCGGCCGTCACTGACAGCCGTCATGTCAGAGTCGAGAGGTGCCATCAAGACCGGTGGTATCTGGGGGTGACGGTCACAGACAACTCCGTTCCGACAACTGCGCGGAGGGAGCGGGCGGTAGCAGTTCCGAGGATACGGTTTGTGACAGGCCAACGGTTCGTGATGGAAGGACGGTACGAGGCGAGACAGTGGTTTCCCGGAAGAGAGGTCTATCTTTGCGTCTTCTTTAGTCCTGAATCAGTGAAAAGGCCGGAACGGCTATTATGTAACATTTAGACCTTTAATTGGGTTGAGTTGAATTTATTCGGTAATCTAATTGCTTGAGAGAAAAGTGAAGATATTAACCCGGCAGGCGGTGGGCCTACCAGCCACCTTCCGCGCGGTGGGGGGGGGGGGCACTTTTTTGCCCCCCCCCGTATCTCCGAAACTACTGGACGGATCCGGAAAATTCGAACGGCGTTCGATAGCCCTGTCAAATTTGTCGAAGGAAACCAAATTTCATTGACCTTGGGGTCACCGATGACGTCACAGGTCAGGTCAAAGATAAAATGTTTCACCGTTCACGGGGCTTCTAGGGAAAGCGCTATAACACCGAGTAAAACGCATTTTGTCGAAAATCAGCGATAAGACGTCAGTTGTCTAGTACATATGTTGCTATTAGAGGTCACTGGTCATACCAGGTCAGGTCACAGGTCAGGTCACCAAAGGTCACCAAGGGTCACCACATGAGCCCAACTTTACTAAGGTTATGCGATGCATGTTTTATGGCCAGTTTTTCATTTCCAACTCAATGGTGTTGGTTATAAGACCATCAAGTACGATTTAGGTCACTTTCTGGTGGAGGTCAGGTCAAGGTCAGGTCAAAAAAGGTCAAATTTCAAAATTGATATTTTTGCATAAAATGGGTATCGATTCGATGCAGCTCGTCACGGGGAGTCTAATGGTGGTCTTTGTTTTGCGCTACGAGGTCTAGAATTGCTAAAAATTGAGTTTGAAAATTTGACGTCATCAATTTTTAACAGTTTTTTGGCTATAACTTGGCCAAAAAAAGAGGTATCGATCTCAAATTTGGTATGTAGATAGAAGGCGGTAAGGGCTATCACATATATTCCGGTTTTTTCGAAATTCAAAAAACTTTTTGGATTTTTTGGCTATTATATTCAAAACAATCTATTTTTTGATTTTTGGGGGTCAAAATCCAAAAATTCGAAAAACCGAAATAGCAGTTTTGTAGCCCTTTTAATTTCACACCTTTTATGTCTGAAACATTTTTCTGTATCTCTAAAGCTGTAGGCCTGACAGCTCTTCCCGCGAAACCTTTTTTTGGGTCGAAAATGGCAAAAATGACGTCACTCTGACGTCATTAGCGGCCAACCTATCAAAGCCTTTGGAAAATTTTTGGTCACCATGTGCGCTAGCTGCTCCCGGGAGGGTACTGAAAGTTTGGTGACGATCGGCGCAGCGGTTCTCGAGATATATCGAAAAAACTAAAGGGGGGGCAAAAAAATGCCCCCCCACCGCCTGGAAGGTTAAGAGGGTGGGAATGACTACCTCCTGCAAGTTGTTGCATACAATGTTTTGCTGTAAACATTCTAAACATAAATTTGGCGGAATGTGGATGGAGCGAATTCGAAATTCCATTGAACCAATATAATCAGAGTATTATCAATAGACGGGTGTGACATATTATAGTGCATGTATGGCCTAAACTTTTGAATTCATTTTAAAATGGGAAAAACGCAAGAAATTACCCAACGTTTCGCATTTATTGCTTATTCCCATACCCGCTACATTGCATGATTAAATCGAGACATCCAGGCATTTTAATGGCACGTGCACTGTACCACACTTTTCAAAGTTTAATGCAGTGCTTTAATATTGCCAGCCGTGTGGTTCAAGGGGTGTGGTTAAACGCGTTGAACCACACGGCTGCTGACGTCACTATCAATTATAGTTGTGAGCTTTTTGGCAGGTATGGGAAACACCTTCCAGCCCTCAGGCCAGGAATTCAATAAATGTCACCTCGCTTTTTTAGCGAAAAGCACCTCAGGCCTAACGGCCCTCGGAGTTTTCGCTAAAAAAGCTCGGTGACATTTATTGAATCATCCCGGCCCCGGGCAGGAATTTATTTTCATGGGTCTTCGAGTGCGATTGTGACACTTTTGAATACATCATGTGAAAAATTGCATATAAATCACACACTTTTTGGAGGAGAGGTCTTTTTCTGGGATGAATCGCTTTTCTTCAAATGATGAGAAACTCCTGTGCCTCGCTTGCTCTTTTATTGCTCCATTTTGGGCGAAGCTTGCTTGGCGCCGAGTTCGTAAGGACTTGTTCTTCCTTGCATCTTCGAAGAAATTCGATTCGTTCGGTCGTTCGGTCTGCTTTCGTTAAAGATAGAAAGATTGCCTAAAGTGATATGGCTCATTCATTGCACTTCTTGACATGTTGAGGATTAACAAAAGTTGACAAAAGTTTAGGCCATACATGCACTATAATATGTCACATAATCAGAGTAATTTGCTTTCACTGTCGACTTAAAATATCCATATTTACAATCAAAATCTTATTGAAGAAACGATCATAAGACACATAGTGGTTGATCACACCATCAGGCTGAATAAAACGCATCACGCTCCTTCCCGTTAAAAAATAACTTCTTAGGCGTTAATCGCTGTTATAGCGTCATTATCTCCTCCATCGTCATTAAAGGGACTATCCCACCTTCTAAAATGTTGTTAAAACCAGTTAAATTGTGCCCGACTTTATAGATTGGATGACCAGGAACACGGTTCTGGCATTTATTTTTCATTTGACATCTTAGGCTTCCCATATTCCAAACACAAACTTTCAAATATGTGACGTCACAGCCCAAAATTACCTCCTTCCCAAGGCCACATTACTGTCATAAAGCTGATTCTTTTTACTCTGTAGGCACCACAACAAAGTTCAGACCAAGTTTTAAGCGATTTTTCAACGAACAAACCCATTTAAATCAGATTGACTAAACGAGGTGACGTCACACTAACGGTCGCTCCATGTTGAAGATTATGGGCCTTGTACAAGGCCCATTTTCAAATGAAGGGAACGAATTTCTTCAACACCAAGAGGCCGCGGGGGTTGCAACCTAGATAGATAGTGGTTTCTGAACCTCGCCGCAAACTTGGCTATCTCAACTCAAACCCCATGTTAAAGGTGGGATAGTCCCTTTAAAACCGCACTAAATACCACCAGTAAAACGCCTTTTGGGCGAAGAACGAGCGAGCGAGATAGTGAGCCCTGCACGTGCGGAAGGGCAAGAGGGTACTTCCAACGGGGCTTGTGCAAAGCACCCTTCTAACCGGTCGCTAGCAGTGTGCCAAATTTGAACGCAATCGGCCCAGCCATTCCTGAGATCTGGAAGCGGCATTCTGCACGTGCGCACGTGCAAACGGAGTCCAAACTGACTTTTGCACGGCACCCTACTAACTGGTCCCCAACCGTGTACCAAATTTGAGCGCAATCGGCCCAGCCGTTCTCGAGATCTGGGAGCGCCCCCTGCACGCGCGCACGTGCAGTAGCACCCTAACCGCAACACATGGGAATGCATTGCCTGGTGGGTGCCTACCTGTATGCCAAGTTTCAGCGAAATCCCCCAGTAACGGCCGAGTTATTGAAATGGGAACAAATTTGGCACCTCTTCTTTTTGCAATTTGCACGTGCAGTGGGGGTCACTCACATAGATCAAGAGTATCCGACCTTTGGTAGAAGGGATGCAGCTACCCTACAAAGATTACCGCAAGACAATCGCCCAAGCGGCTGCTGAGATATGGGCCTCTCAAAATCACTACTTTTGCAAAACAGCTTGAACACCCTTGACTTTTCACGTGGCACGTCCCACGACGGTCACTGAGATGTATCAAAAGTAGTCAATTACGGGGTAGAAGGGATGGGGCTACCCAGCAAAAAAGACTGCAGGCCAATCGGTCCAGCGGTTGCTGAGATATAAGCCTCTCAAAAGCGTTACAGCCCGGGCCGGGCCGGGCCGGGCCGGGCCGCTCATACTGAGATTTTTCCGTTATATTGAAAAAAGACTCACTTCGCTCGCTGCGCTCGCTCGCTCGTAATCATAGACCGCTGTGTATATGTAGTATGTACGTCAATTCTCACCAAAATGCGGAATTATGGCCGTATCTGTTTCCCTGGACCGCTCAAAACCAGGAGATAAACCATGTCAACACAGGACAGCGCCGGCCAGTGAAACGACGCGCGACGGGAGCCAGACGCTCGCCGGGCGCCCTCGCTCGTCAGCAGCTGTCAAATGTGTCCCCCAAACGCACAGACAGGCGCTAATTGGGCCATCGGAGGCGGCGACAATGACACCTCACTGATGGACACGAGACCATGAACAATCCAAACTACATCGGCTGGGAGCTGGGACGGAGCGGAGGCACGATTTCCGGGACGGTCGCACCGACAGACCGACGGGACAGTAGGGAGAAAGGAGGCGCGTCGAGGTAGAAGTCGATCAGAATCAGCGCCGACCACCGAGCCATTGGGCATGTTTCTACTACTGGAACTGAGCTGAACTGATGGAAGATGCCACACAGCAGAGAGCACGGAACGCACCCACGCTGACGCAACGGCCCGAGGGTAATCGCCGGCGCAATGTCAAGTCATGTTTGATTACTGTGTTTGTCATGTGCACGCTCCGGTGGGTAACGCTGCAATTAACTTTGAGTGACGTTGACTTTCAGACGCTGACGGTTAACGCTTGCCAAGGGCTTCGCATTTGCAGACACAAAAACAAAAACAACGCCACAGTTTCCAGAGTTACTACGCATCGCAACGTTTTCTGGAGCAGCCTCACGCGTTACAATCCATTAGCCAATTCACGGCTCACTCACGACTACCGAGCATAAGGGTCAGGTCGGCTGAAATGGGACCCACTAACGCGACTCAAGCGCGACGCGCTACTCTAGTCACGGCACGAGGCGCGACTCGTATCACGGTACAACGCGAGTGCCGAAGCACCACGACGGGCTCCATTGCGTTTCAATTCGTCCGTCGTGTGCCATGGAGACTGGCGGCGTTCCGGACGACGATCTGGCTGAGCTACGACCACCATGACACAGGGGTCACCGACAGACGTAAAAAGGTGCAGTGTGGGCTGCCCCAGGATGGCAGTTGGCCGTGGGCCAGGTCATGTGACCCAGAGGTCATGATACAGCTGTCAGATATCGTGAAGGACCTACGCGGTGGCCGTCGTGCTACAAAGAACCAGATGTCGCAGTCAAAGAAAGGGTTAGCATTGTTGTGATGCCGCGCTTTGCCAGCTGCGAGAAATGAGTGCATCAGTGCAGGATTCATGGGATCCAGTATTATGCTGTGTAATCTTACGATGAAATGCTTTTTACTTTGTTTATCGGCAATAATTTACAAAACGTTCGTCCCCGTGAGATCATGGAATTCGGGTCCATGCCTCCATGCCTCCACCTGTTGACCTCAAAATGAGAATATCATTTAAAACATTGACAACACCGAACATACTGGATACATGGAGATACTGATCTGGATCTCATCGCGCGGTTTTGCTCTAGATTCTTGAGCAATGCAAATGTACGTTGTGAATGGAGTTCCGGGCGATGATCGGTACATACTCCGCACGTAATGCGCATTTACTGCGCGTAATGCGATTTACTGGCTAATGCGTCTGAGCAAATTGTGTGCATCTCTCATATCACCTACCCCCATTTGTCCTAAACGCGGAAACTATTACGATGATACGAAGCTCAGAGGTCGCCTGATTCCATCTCACCCGACAGCGCTGGCCATCTAAGCCCCCCACAAATGAGCTAGAGTATTGGATACCATTTCTAGGCAAACGCCAGCCCAAAGGAAGCTCGAAATGACCCTAAGCAACTGGCCAAGCAAGCGTCGCCAAACTTGGGAGATTGAACGAATAACGAAGTGAAAACTTCGGCGGCATTAATGTTGTGTCTATTTTGTTGAGAAGACGTCAAAATTAGAGAGTGAATCAATTGCTACAGATTCAAAATAATATGCCGTATTCAGCTCCTCAAGCTCGAGGGCAGAGGGAGGGGGAAGGGGAGGGCAGAGCGGGGAGGGGTAGGGAGAGCGATGTCAGCAGTGGATCCGGTCTGACACTTGGTGGTGGGCGATATGCCAGCTGTGTGTCACCCCGTGCCCCTGCCCCTCCCCACCGGTCACCAGGACGACGGATCCGCCGACTGACCACTCGTGACCCGCCCAAGCCCAGCAGCGTCATCGGTAGGTACCCCTGTCCCGTCAGCAAAAGAGGAGCTATAGTTAGAGAAGAGGAACACTCACCAGCCGTTATATGCAAATAAGCCTGAATAGAATGATAACGCGATCTTGGTGACATCCGTCTGAGTATTGTCCCAGGTGAAGTTAGCAGTCTCTCCTGTGAAAGCGAGAAAAACACGTAAATGCCAGCCGAAGTCAAGCTGCTCGATAAAAATAAAGTAGTGCGCAAAAGTGCATTTTCATCTCAAGGCGATCAAACATCTGAGATCTGCAACAGGAAATATGATTAGCTTGAGTACGCACTATGATTGTGAAAAAGAGCAAAACGTTTTTTAATATGCCTACGGTTAATAAAAATCTAATTTTCCGCAGCTGAGATGCAGCGGATCGAGTTCAACCCACTGTGCAGCCCTTGCTCGCCGTCTGTTGTTCCTATTGAATGTAACAGTGAACACTGGATGGAGCAATACCAACGAGCAGTCTGTTCAGTTCAGGTGTTGGCCACCGAGCCTCAGTGACAATAATGACGCATCAGCGCCACCGGCGCGCGCCACAGGTGTGACAAACATGTCCGCTTCGGAGCAGCTTAGCTTGAAACAGTGAACCATTTTTGAGCAGTAATATGAAAACATGTTTGTGCGCCATATGTGCTCTGTAATGAATATTGTAATGAATCTGCGGTAAATGAATATTTGGTAGTCCAGAGCCCTATTCATTGACCAGTTTCCGGGACCCGATGCCTCTGCTCAGTATTTCGAAACGTTCCTAAAGTAAGAGACTTCACCTTTTTGCTCAAGCATGCCTTTCCGGGTATCAACATACGAGTAGACTAAGCGAGACGGCAGCCCTCCATGCCCGAATTATTCGGCTGAAAAGTTTCACAGTAAAAGACTGTAAACAAGAACACAATGCCAGTCTTTGAACTTTTAAAAGCCGCTCTTCAATGCATTTTACTTTTAATATTTACCTTTCAAATGGTGCCTACCAGTCTATACTCTACAGCTCGTGCATCGGCACACGGCCGTAATATTTTGTTAGGCTGATGCCGCTGATTCACCCTCCCTCAAGGAAATATTAGAATAGATAAAAATTACAAGACTCAGGGAGCATTCATCCTAATGACCTCACAAAGGGTCTCCACGATACTTCAAATGACCTCAGTGACCTTGCTGATGCCGAGCTGCTCGAAATCATTCCCTGTCGCCGTGACTTCAGTTAGACTCTGGACTGTCGGGGGCACCCGTCTCCTCTGCTGTCCTCCGCCCTGACTCCACCCCTGCCCCGCCCCCGGCGCCGGCGCGACCCGGCCCGGCACGCCCGCTGCACGGCCCCTGGGCGTGCACGGTCCGTTAGGTACGACCGCGCCGTGACCGGCCGCCGTGGCCGCACCGCGCTGGACGTTCCCGAGTGAGTCAGCTCGGCGTCAGGTCGCCACCGATGGACTAGACGCTCAGTGGCAGTGATGGACGGTTGTGAAGATTGGCAGGCGTTAGTGCAGTGTTTACCAGAGGGCCGTCGCCGGCCGATGCGGCACTGGCTCATGTGAAGCTGGACAATGGAGAGTGCTGACAGGGTGGGGCTGCAGTGACATTCACTGAGCCGTGAGGTGTGACAAATTGGAATGCACATTTGGCTGAAGTGTGATACGACTGCAAAAATAAAGATGACATGGGTGACTACTGACTTGCACCTCGAAAATAGAAAGGTTATCATGCATTGCTAGCGCAGTGTGTTTCAAGACGAGATAGATCACTTCACATCATTAATTTGTCAATTACATAATTGCGAGGTAGAGTTTGCTAGTAAGCCTGAAACTGTTACTGAATAGATTGGCGACTACTTTTTGGCGTTGTGAGCACGACTATCTCTTGAAAATGGGTAGGTGGTGAGGACCCGTGCAAATTACAAACTCGCAGTTTACCAATGCAAACTAATGTTTCAAAATTTCCAAGTACATCGTAAAACGTTGCCCATTGGAGAATGATGGATCTACGTTCCTTTTTGAGCCCGTTTGCCAACTAGAAACTCCCGAGGCGTACCCGAATAACAGTCGGTAGCATCGACTGCTTGATCGGTATGCCAAGACTTGCGACATTCATAACTCTCCAGTGACAAATCGTTCCACATTTAATCGCCGACTGTGTCCCCTGACCCTACCCCGTGACCATGTCCTTTCACATTTGACCCCTCCATCCCAATGACCCGTGACTCCGTGATCCCGTGACCCCATTGACCGCCACTGACCCAGCGCCAGCATGTAGATGCCGGTGATGATGATGATGACCAGGGCCAACAGCTTGGCGAAGGTGAAGATGTCTTGCACGCGCGTAGCCCATGTCACGCTGTAGCAGTTGACGAACGTCAGCACGCCTGCGAAAAGAACAAAACATATGGTCAGAAAGTGCATGGATTTACAACCCAATTGAGCACAGTGAGACTTTTGCAAGGAATATACGTGCATGATTGACTAATGAGAGGTGCTTTGCTCTTATTTGGGTTTGTAATCTAACTGAACCGTTTGCATAGTAGTTTTCTGTTGTGTCGTCGCAAACGCTAAGACACTGGCCGTTTAGTGCCGTTTCTTTTATTTCATAAGAATGCGTTGCATTGTTACTCATTGGCAAAATGGACGCATACTCATACCTAACACTTAGGTATACTTGTGAACAAGGTCACACATGCACCGAAAACAGCGCGACATAACATCTCAAATGACAAAACATCGGTCGCTAATGTGCGACCTGTTCAATTCGAATTTCAAGCTGATATTTTTCCGTAAAATAAAGTGACCAAAGAAGCTAACTATTCGCAAACTGCTGTAGCAATTGCTCATTTGTCCCCTCTGAGTCACCGGCAAAAACTGCGCAGAGCAGCAGGCTTCATCAACTGACATATTTACTCGCTCAAGACCAGCTGTGCTCGGCGTCAGTCGCCGCTGCGAACTGCTTGTTTTCGGGCGCGGGGAGCAGCTGCGTTCATCGTTACCCGGCTAACGGATCTTTGCTCCGCGCCCTGTTGACATCAGCGCGGCTTAGTGATGCTTTACGGTGTGACAGATGGCCGAGACCGGCCCACAGTCCCCCTAAACACAGCCCGCGGGGCCGCAGCGGTCGGAAGGCGGCACAGAGTCAACAGAGAGCATTTCCCACGGGTCTCCTCTGTCGGGCCGTCTGCGGACCGGTGGGGGTGTCACTGTGTGCTCCGAGCTCGTATACTAGCGAGTAATGAACGTCGTGCGCGGAATAGTGGGCCGATGACGTCAGCACAGGCGGCGATAAGCTATGGCGATTGGTCACCAGCTGACAGAGGAGACCATTCCATCTGACTGCCGTGGGACGGCCGCGCCGCCATCCTAACTGACCTCATGACAAAGTATTTCGTGTGTGATACGATCCCGGCGGGGTGAATTTGTCCGACGATATTTGAAAGAATCGCTTGACGTTATGTTTGGTGTTTACTTATTCAGCCTTGCTAGTTGCTAGCAATCTGAAACGAGAAGTGTGAAATATTCCAGGGTGGAATAAAATTGCAGATAAGAACATAATTATATAGCAGCTAGGAGATCTCTTGGAGGGACGTCTATTGCGTGAAAGCATGATAAACGGTCTCGCTGAACGTTCTTCGGAAATCGAGTCACGTTCAGTTTGTGACGGAGAGAAAATCCACGTCCTGAAATTAAAGGTCATCGAGGGTCGTATTTACGTCAGCAGCTTCAATTACGGCTGCCATTTACGAGTACAGTCGTACGTGACTTCTGAACCCGAAATTGATTAAATACAGCCAAATAATTAATGCTGCATATAAATAACGGTTGTCACATTCTAATGGTAAAATAATTATCAGAATTTAAGTTATCAATAGACAATAAATCAATAAGTCACTTGGAACAAAAAGTTGCTATTCAAGGCTGAATTCATGCATAAACATAAGCCAGCATTCAAAGCTATGCTCAACTGCAAGTATCACTTTATCTTAATTCAAAGTTCATTTAACAACGCCTCTTCATGAGAACCTCGACTACCAATATTTATTTCCACGGACAAATCGTCTACCATCATCCCAGGACACACGATCCATCGTCTCCCGATCTCCCGTAATACCGGTGGGCTCACCACGAACAGAGATTTCAGGGGATGACATCTACCATCATATGGGACATCTACTGATGGATTCCTTGCCAGGCAGACCATAAGTGATTCTGAAACCAACGAACTTCACTACTAGTATCCAAGTGACATCCTTTTTGTGTGTGCCATTTTAATTAATTGGGGCTCTAACGAATTATGAGACAAATCGCAAAGTCAATCTGGATTACCTATAGAAACGCTTCATGGCTAATTGCTAATTCCTAAAATAAAAAGTGTGCTGTGATTTGACTTCGTTTTATTTGACGAGTTTCATGGGCAGCTTGGCATGTGTACAAGACAAGTAAAAATGAATTAATATGAACCGTGAATTCTGAACGAACAGCCTTTCCTCAACGAATACGAGTCGGTTGCCTCCGGTGTTGATTGATTCACTGGTATACGCCAAGCGAACACACACAAAACCCATTTTGCCCTAATGATGCCGGAATATGCCTGACCGCACTCATTCCGTGGTCGCCAGGTCGCCGGCTGAAAAACAACTCATCGATCGAACGGTCCTCCGGCATTTCGGCGTGCAGTCTATGGCGACGAGTTGTATCGAAAGGTAGTTGCATTGGGGCCTGTGAGATTACAAAATATACAATCAAAAAGCTTGGTGGCCAGCTTGTCACGCAAATTCAAGATAAAAATCGTGCTTTGAAGCGGGATACAAAAGTTGACGCCACCATAAACCTTCCGAGTGTGATGTAAAGAAGGAGTGACGGGTAGGTCTCGTGCCTGAACGAAGGAACTCCACAAGAAGCCTGCGTGTCGGCTCCGCGTTGTACGTCAGTTTTACACCGGGCGTCAGTGCTGCTGGCTGAATAACAATGAGCAGGACAACACAGACCCTTGGGAATTAATGGCTGGGGAACCCTAATGAGCACATTCCGATGCGTGACTGAATCTTCATAGATTTGTGCGGCGGGGTGGCAAGCCACGACGAGGATGCTGGATACTTCTTGGTAGCCTCATTAAAAAAATAATAGCAACATCTATTGCTATCAGAACAAAATCCTATGGGTAGCGAATATCACTCGAATTATTCCAAAGAAGTGCCGGGTTAGCTATTCAGGCTTGTGCAAAAGCATTATTTCTACACTGTAAACTCATTTTGACAAGGGGTTGTCGTACAACGACGAGCGATTGTCAAAAATACTAATAAAGGTTATGTCGAACGACGAATATCTTGTCATAGTTGGTTGAATCAACAGGGCAAATACTAGTATCAGCCCCAGCACCTAGTCGACCATTCATAAAATTGACGAGGATTATGGAGGCTATTGTGAAAACTACCAGGGTCTTATTCGTAATATGGAACATAGATTTGCTAATGATTTGTAATTTATATCCTTGTCGAAAGAACCAGCTACACCATTGCAACAATACTGATACATACTTATGTAATCTATGTCCTTGTCAAAGGTATCAGCTACACCTTTGCAACACGGACTTAGTTACGCTAGTTAGACGTGTTAGTAGTAACATATACAAAGCTGTTACTTGTTATATAGGTGGCGCCAAAAACGTTTCCGGCCGTTTCATTTTGAAAGTTTCAGTTGCGCACCAACCGCCGTGCAGTGATGTGGCCTCCTGCGCACTTCCGTGAAAATGGTAGGTGATAACAGTGTTCGGTCGTTTTTGTCATTTTTTAATGAAATGTATGTCTTTCAACTGATAGTAATGCAGATTGAATCAGAGAAATTTGTCAAATAAGTGCGTGATGTAGGGGAAGCGGGGGTAACACCGCCACTGTGGGAAACACCGCCACCCCATCTGGCGGCGAAAGTATGAAATGTGAAGTGTAAAAATCCGTTATTTCCTATTGACCGCACGCAGGTAAGCGTCTTCTGATTTGTGTTCCGGTGTTTCAGTGTAATCGAAGCTCAATGTGGGCATTTAAAGAAAAATGCACATTCTCTTATAAAAATTCGATGAGTTGGGAGCACTTTTGAATGTCTGTAAGTAGAGACTCATTTTGATTTACTTGATTACATCGAAAAATAACTGATTGGCTTTGTCCAGTAAGATAAGTTTGCTTGAACCGTGTAGTACATTCTTACCGCTGGCGATTTTTGCTTGTGATCACTTATTGGGGAACACCGCCACCCCGTGGCGGTGTTACCCCAATTGAGGTTGCGGTGTTTCCTGTTTGTAGCGTGATAAGTGATGAAACTCCAAAGACACGCTTTATTTATGTTCGTAGATGTTCCTAAGTCGGGAATAAGCAGCTTATTTGCTTTTTACTTTATATTTTTCATGTATCCCGACCAAGCACTTGCCAGCTGTATAAAACTGGCAAACAGCTGATGAACCTATACCTATTTAGGTGTCCATTACCGATTATTTGCGAAAATTACCACTTACCGACAGGAAACTCATCGCACACGATCTCTGAACAATTAAAAGCTTTCGTAGGAATGGGTTGGGTTAACATCAACACCGGTGGCGGGGTTACCCACACAATTTGTAGGCAGCAAATATGCAAGGTATTTTTAAAAGTCGTGATACATGAAAACCTTTTAGGAGCATGCAAAATAAGTACCTAAAACACGTGAGAAAATGTTTAAATATTGTAACCAAGACAATAACTACCAAGAGACTTCACACATATTCTCTCATTTCGGTGAAAAGCTTAGGGGGGCGGTGTTACCCCCGCTTCCCCTATGGAAGCAAGCACAATGTGTTCTGCTCCAGGCCATATTGTTCTGCATATATGCTATAATATAGCGACGCTTTCTTTCAGGCTTTCATCAGGAGCGAAAGCTCCAGCTTGCAAGCAAGGGTCGCTACACTGAAGACAGCAAACTGTAGAAACTCAAGAATTCTAAAAATGAAAAAGCACCTGAATTCCAAGGGGCTAGCTAATGAATTTGAATGCCTCTTAGATTTGAATGGGTTTGCCCCTTAAAATTCGTGTTCCGGAGACTTAGAAATAACATATCTCCGAATCAAGGCATTCCTCGATGTTGCGAGTCCCCAAACCAGTTATTGCGAGGCAGGAAACCCAAGTTGACTATCAACTCAAACCTAATGCATGTAAACGTGTGATTCTACAGTGTACTCGATAAGATGATGACGCTCATTGCCTTTTCGCATGCGTTATTGTCCTTGCCCCTTGGGTCATGAGTGTCATCACCATTGTGTGTGTAATGTGTATGTACCATTTTAAATACATGACCTACTTTCAGTAATGCTGTTTTGCTGCAATAATGAGACTGCAGAGCGGCGACCTGCGATTTG